TGATCTTAGACAACTAAACTGTCACAACCTACCGTTTACAACAGGCTCCTCTTAACTTCCAGTTACTTTCTTTTTTTAACATGGCTATAACAGCAAAATGATAAATTCTAGAACTTCCCCATTAATATGAAAATCAAAGATGATTTCTAAGAAACTTACGTGAAAATACAAAAAAATTAAAAAAGTGAGACCGTCTGGCGGAAATTACTAAAATAAACAAGAAGTATTATATTAAAAGAAAGACAACCCCGGACTAGAAGAATCAGTCATTTCACCTGAACACTTTCAAATAAAAAATTTTAGTCCTTCCGGGCGCTCCCGATGACATGTGGACTTCTAATACCGAAATGATTTCTGTAATCCTTTTTCCCAAATACACAGAAAAAAATAGAGATGTCGGTTACCGAATATGCGAACAAACGGTCACGAAATCCGGAAAGACACCAAATAACTTCAGGTATTTGTAGTATAATAAAAAAAAATCCATAAATTTGTACTCATGAAAAAAGTTAGTGTGAAGCAAAGGATACAAAAAAGCGGAAAATAAGGAAAAAAAGCAAACGATAAACGACGGAAGAGAGTGCGTTTGGATGAGCATGTATACGCAAAACAAAAAAGTGACGAGAGTGAAATGAGACCAAAAAGAAGAAATGGAATTCAAAGGCTGAAACTTGTTGAGTCCCAAGGGGGGAGAGGGGAGACGATGAATCCCGAGGAAAGACGTGTATTTGGCACCCCGCCAGTAGGCCGAAAATATTTACTATGTGGCGGGAAATAGAAAAAGGAGAAGCTAAAACGAATTTCGCTTTTTTTATTTTCGAACACCGCCCACTACCACCACTGGAAAAGCTATGCATTTACAAAGACGTTCAAAAATAAACAATAAACTCTCCCTCCCCCTAACCATCGTCATCATTAGCGCATATAACTACCACCACCATCGTCATCATAACAGCAACAACAAAGTAATTATATGAATTTGCAAGCCAGCAAAGTCGCAAAAAAACTTGAATAACCAAATGAATCGCTGCGTAGAAATAATTCGGGTTAACGTGCTTTATATATTTAAAGCAGACGATAAAAGAAACCAAAATATATCTCAAACTTGCATGACTCAATACTTATATGCACGTCTACCAGTCCAAATTCTTCAAGTTGTAAATCATCCAAAAAAAAAAAATTTTTTTTGACAGCTTATTAAATAAACAATCCTCTCGTGCTTCGGAGAGGGAAAAAAAGAAACCGGAAAAATGGTATGAGGAAACTCGAACCAGACGTATCAACAATATGATGAACTTCCCAAATCTCCTCTACTCCCACCACCGTTGCAGTCATAATGACTATACAAAAACCAATACAATGAAATGTACAAGAAAAACAATTTGCAACAAACGATAAAAGCTATACAAAAAAACCCTTAAAACTTAAAAATATAAATACCAACTTCAAACCTCAATATTCCATTACTCTGCCACTGCTGAACTGAGTAATACAGATTCGATGACGAAAATGTCTGAACGGCACAAGTGACAACCGGATGTAACAATGATACTCAGTAATGACAATTACCAGCATCTTGGTTATACGACAACAAACTATAAGTTTTTTGTAGCATTAATAGTAACTACAATAATAATAACAATAAAAATTAAAAAAACAATAATTATTAGAGACATGAGTTGCTAAAACTGTTACGAGGGATATAACATCAAACAAATTACAATGAAAACAGCCAATTTTCCACTACGGATCGTGGATATATTAAGCAGCTGCAGCGCCAGCAGTAGCAAAAAATTACTGCAATCAAATGTCGTGTGAAATTTTGGGACAATTATGTATTATAACCCATTATTCATAAGCGAGAAAAAAAAAAAACAGAATCAGCAGTAGCAATGAACTCAAGATACTAGTTAGGCGGCAATATGTAGTCAAACAGCAAGCATTATTAGTCGTGTTGCAATCAGTCAACAATATAATGAGAACTAATAATTTCAGCAGCCCGTATTCACCTGAAGTAATAAATGTAAATTATATCAATGTTGTTTCGAACAGTACTACTAGCAAAAGTCGAAATGGTAACAGTGGTAGTAGCAGTGACTGTAAGAGTAGGTGGAGCACCGGTGGTAGTAGTAGTAGCAGTAGTAGTAGTAGTAGTAATAGTAGTAGTAGTAATAGAGACAATCCCAACTGCACAACCAGCGCGCCCTATCTGAACCAACTAAACCTCCAACTAACACGCAACAATTGATTGCAGCGATTTTTGTGCCTGGAGACAGCTTATGTGCCCAGCGTTTCCTCTCTTTTTCGCTCTACCTCTCTTTTTTACGAACACTTACATACGGACGCAGGCGCGTCTCAAACGCACGCATGCATGTCCGTTAACAGAAACGCACACGCAAACGCACGCATTATAAATACACTACAGATGGACCGCATAACGACAACATTTTCGTCGTAGGGGGTCCAAATAGAGTGCAACACAAGCGATGCGATGCGACGCGGTGCGATGTTTGGCGACATTGCATTGCCGCCAAGCATAATTGATCAAAGTAGCGCGCACTACTACACTTCAGTTTTTTTTTCATTTAATTTTTGGACAATTGCCAAAAACACTTTACACATTTTATTTGAGGGATCAAACTTTTTTCATCATAAATTCTGTCATCAGTGAAGAAAAGAAAACGGAAGTGAAAGAAGCAATTAAACCATCAAAATGCAATTAAAAAAAACAATTCGTTTTTAAGTAGCTACAGATTACAATATTCCACTCGAGCTCTTTCCGAGTTGAAGATGATGCACCGATACTACATACGTAACATTACGTAATGCGAGTCATTACCGTCGTCGTTACTCCTTGATAATTTTTGACGAAAATTCAACTACAGCAAAACAACGGAAATCAGGAACGCAAAATATGTCATCTGTATAACAAGTGCAATTAGATTACAGTAACGAATCATTCATGGGGTTTAAACCGTTCCCAACACGGCAGCTGCGTGTGTTTTTTATGTGACTGTACTCAAGTTGATCCAGTGCTCTTTGTAAAGATTAAACAAATATGTATTGTGTGAGTAAGAAAAAGAAAAAGAAATGTATATATGTGCATGAGGAATCAAATCGTAAGTTTAAAAAAATGCTGTAATTTCACAATCGATAAATTTATCTATTTTACTGGAAAGTATTATGAATATAGGTACTGAAAAGAAAAAAGGTAAAGTGCTGAAAAGTAACATAAATATAAACACGTAAAAAAAAAATTCTAATGCTGCTAAAAAAATATTGAAAATAAATTTCGAACTATTAGTGAGTTCTGCAGAAATGGGAACCTAAGCGACAAATTTTACAAATAAGCAAGTAATATTCACCTCAATTTAATCTAGGAACCGTACAGAAATTTTCGACCAAAAGACTGAATTAGAAGACTGCTTGTTACCTTCATAGTTACGGAACTATTGCAACTTTCACAATGGTGCTACTTGATGAGAAAAAGCAGAGAAAAAGCCTGAAAAATAAGTTCAAACATCTTTAATCACATAATGTATATAACTAGAAAATTGATGCTAAAAAAGCTTCCTCTCCACAAAAAAGAAAAAAAAAAGAACAGTATTACGACTCGCGAGATTTTTGAGAAAACTTCCACGAACAGCACAAAAACGCAAACGAAACTGATGAAAAATTGATACCAATGCACTTTTCGATGAACGGAACAACACTTCATTGCAATAAGCATACGAAGTAAAGCGAAGAAGTTGCATCATGAAAATCCTCCGAGAGGGGAGAACTTGCGAATTCAGGGAAAGAATCAAGGATGAACCACATCTGCCGCATTACCTTTATGGCTGAACTTTTCTAAAAAGGACTCCAGGCGCGGAAATCTGGGGTTCCTCCAATTTATTGTGTACTGCACGTCCGAAGAGGTCTTCTAGTTCTGCTGCTGTACACAACTGACGTTGAAATAAGATCAGGGAAAACAAGAAAGCGTACAGTGCGCAAAAGTTTATTGCTTATTAAAAACATCTGTTTTTCGTTATAAGCATCAAGAACCGTATGTAGGCAGACCTGAACGTCGTGTTGCACTGTCCGCCATGTAGCCATCACATCATGAAGTAAAATTTCACGAGACAGCAGAACCTTAATAAACTAAAGTTGATGCTAAAAGTGCCGAATCTATATCAACTCAAAAACACTTCCACCAAGTTTGCTTTCTGTTGACATATTCAAAACACTTGTTTAATTGGTGCTCCGAGAACGGGGTACCATCTACCTACGGGCGTTTGTCGGGCTTAACAGGCAGAATTCATAGATATATGGTTTGAAAAAAACTTCTTTCTGTATTTCATCTCGTCAGTATCAAACTTCTGGGTTCCTAATATTAGTCATTTCAGACCTTTTGATCTTAAAATGGCGCAGCAAGTAGAAAGACGATACCAGCAAAAATCCGACCGGGAAAAAGAGCAAAGCATATATTTGTTTAGTTGGCTATAAAATGAAAAATATTTTTTTATACTTTTCTGATTTCGCTGTGAATTTTACTTTCATCCACAGAAGTTTCAAACGGCAAAAAAATTCGTATTTGTTCATTCTCCAGTTCTTTTTTTTTTTTTTTTTTT